AACCAATGCGCCCACAGGCTCCAGAAAGTCCCCATGACGATGGTAGATTACATCGGAGTCATGCTAAAGAGCCTAGCAGTTCAGTCGCAGGACATACTCATGACTACGGAGGACATGAAGTCGGCGTATCGACAAGTGCCTTTGGCACCAAGCGATGTGCGCTACGCCATCACGGGAGTTTACAATCCCCGTACTGATGAGGTTGACCTGCACGAGATGTACGGGCAACCTTTTGGCGCGGGACACGCAGTGCCAAATTTTTGTCGCGTTGCTGAATGGATTAGTCGATGTGCGCAAAAACTTTTCAGCGCCTATTTGGACCACTTTTTCGATGATTTCTTTGTCATCGAACCTCGCCAAACCATTCAGTCTGCCCTCTTTTGCCTCCAGCAGCTATTCCAGATCTTGGGGTTTTCCCTAGACTCTGAGAAATCACAACCTCCATCTCAGCTGTGTGCAATCTTAGGAATTCTTTTCAATACGGAGACACTCCGTACTCAGCGCACAATTTCGCTATGCGCAAAACCGACGCGCATCTCCAACCTGCTTGCAATGATTGGTCAGATCCAAACTTCAGGCAGGCTTACCGCTGCGCTCGCGGCGAGTTTGGTTGGGAAGTTCGGCTTTCTCTGCTCAACTTTATTTGGAAAGGTGGGCAGATGCTGCACCGGACCTATCAGGCGCAGACAGTACTCCAGTGCCTCATACGATGGTCTTACCCAAGATATCATCGCGGCACTAAATCTCATGCGCTTTTTCCTATTAGCTGCCCCTTCACGGGAGCTGTGCCTTTCCAACTCTCCACCAGTTTTGGTCTACACCGATGCATCGGATGTCCCAGGACGCGCACCGCAAAGAGTATTGGGTGCCGTCCTCTATCGGCCGGATACAGGAGAGCTATTTTATACAGCTTGGGCGGTTCCACATTCACTTGTACAGAAGTGGCTGCCTAAGAAATCTTTTATGGGACAGCTTGAATTATTAGCTGCTCCATTAGCTTTTAACACTTGGGCTGATTTGCTCGAAACGCGAGAATCCATCCTTTTTATCGACAACGATAGTGCGGCGGCCAACCTGGTGAAAGGATATTTTCTCCTCAGGTCGACAGTTCCTCCATTGTCGGAGAGTTCTGGCTGCTAGCCTCTAAGCTTCGGGCACACACATATGTCGACAGGGTGGAAAGCAAGAGCAACCTAGCAGACGGCCCCTCCCGTCTGGATTTCAAGGAGATAATTGCCATGGGCGGAACCTGGACTTCACCCAAGCTTGGCACCTTGGGTGAGCCCACCACCCCTCCTTTCCCGGATTGGCACGCCGGAGCACCGGGGGGAGAGAGAAGGATGACACCCCAACCCTGACAGCGGGGGGAGTAAGTTGGGGGCCCTCTCTCGGGTGAGTTGTTCATCTGCAGCGCGTAGGGGATTGCATGGGTCCTAGTAATACGCTTGCGCAGAGAACACAGAATAGGGTCGTGCCGGTTCCATACCCATCGCTGACTCCGACCACTGGGAGGAAAAAGCCCAGTTCGGTGAGTGTCTAGAATATTTACGGCTTGTGCCCTTGGGTACTAAAGTAAATGTTCGTTTTAACGGGACGAAATGCCGTGGCCATTTTGGATCGAAGCCACCGAACAAACTCCCCAGTGTTGTTTTTCCCACCCTCCCACCCGGGGGGGAGTAAGTTGGGGGCCCTCTCTCGGGTGAGTTGTTCATCTGCAGCGCGTAGGGGATTGCATGGGTCCTAGTAATACGCTTGCGCAGAGAACACAGAATAGGGTCGTGCCGGTTCCATACCCATCGCTGACTCCGACCACTGGGAGGAAAAAGCCCAGTTCGGTGAGTGGCTAGAATATTTATATATAAATATGTATCCATATTGTGTTCGTTAGCTACAAAGGAAGCAGTGATTGTATTGATATCAATCATGTTTGATATCCATGTACAATATCACTAAAAGGTGTTTCATAATAATTCAAGATTATTGTAAAATTATCACCTGTTGATATGAGTATGTAACAGGATGTAGTTGTTTTACTGTACTATACTAGCTACATGAAATAAAACGGGCTAGCGCCCGGGTGCCGCCGACCCCTCCTTCTTTGGGACACAACGCTATTATGTGGTCATGCTTAGAGTTTCCAATATGTTTGTCCCGCTTGCCAAAAGTCTGTGAGGAGCAGTATACGCACGGGCCAAGTAGATCACCGACGCGCATGTGGTAACCGTTTCCAGGTGTGGGATGCGCAGGTCGTTGCGAAAGGGTATGTGTATATTTGCCCTGCTTGCAAAGAGAATGTGCCTAGTGACGTGAAGACAGGGCAAATAAACCATCGAACGGTCTGTGGGAACCAGTTTTCTGTCAAGGACGGCGTTGTGCAGGAAAAAGCGTATGTGTACATTGCCCCGCTTGCAAAGGGAATGTTGCCAGTGACGTCAAGACAGGGCGAATAGACCATCGAAGGGTCTGTGGGAAGCAGTTTTCTGTGAAGAACGGCGTTGTGACGGAAAAAGCGTATGTTTACGTTTGCCCCGCTTGCAAAGGAAATGTGGCCAGTGACGTGAAGACAGGGCAAATAAACCATGGAACGGTCTGTGGGAACCAGTTTTCTGTCAAGGACGGCGTTGTGAAGGAGAAAGCGTATGTTTACATTTGCCCCGCTTGCAAAGGGAATGTGGCCAGTGACGTGAAGACAGGGCAAATAGACCATCGAAGGGTCTGTGGGAAGCAGTTTTCTGTGAAGAACGGCGTTGTGACGGAAAAAGCGTATGTTTACGTTTGCCCCGCTTGCAAAGGAAATGTGGCCAGTGACGTGAAGACAGGGCAAATAGACCATCGAACGGTCTGTGGGAAGCAGTTTTCTGTCAAGGACGGGGTTGTGAAAGAGAAAGGTGGTAAACGGCAAGCTTGAACGCCGAGAAAAGGCTATTGATTTGGCTTTGGGGTATCGTTTGCATTGTGCAAAGGCTGGCAAACGGCAACCTTGGACGCCTAAGAGAATTGATTTGGCCTTGGACCCCCATGACGGGTTGTAAGGGTTTTAAGCGTTTGGAGGGTTTTTTTAAGGGTTTTTAAGGTTTAAGGGCTGGCAAACGGCAGGCTTGGACGCCCATAAGAAGACATTGATGTGTGGCCTTGGAGTGCCTGTTGGCTGCAGGATGAAGCATGCCAAGGTTCCCTTGTGTTTAAGGCCTGGCAAACGGCAGGCTTGGACCCCCCATGACGGGTTGTAAGGGTTTTAAGGGTTTTAAGCGTTTGGAGGGTTTTTAAGCGTTTAAGGGCTGGCAAACGGCAGGCTTGGACGCCCATAAGAAGACATTGATGTGTGGCCTTGGAGTGCCTGTTGGCTGCAGGATGAAGCATGCCAAGGTTCCCTTGTGTTTAAGGCCTGGCAAACGGCAGGCTTGGACCCCCCATGACGGGTTGTAAGGGTTTTAAGGGTTTTAAGCGTTTGGAGGGTTTTTAAGCGTTTAAGGGCTGGCAACCGGCAGGCTTGGACGCCCATAAGAAGACATTGATGTGTGGCCTTGGAGTGCCTGTTGGCTGCAGGATGAAGCATGCCAAGGTTCCCTTGTGTTTAAGGCCTGGCAAACGGCAGGCTGCGACGCCCATAAGAAGCCATTGATGTGTAGCCTTGCGGGCCTGGCAAACGGCAGGCTTGGACCCCCATGACGGTTGTAATAAGGGTTTTAAGCGTTTGGAGGGTTTTTAAGGGTTTGAAGCGTTTAAGGGCTGGCAAACGGCAGGCTTGGACGCCTATAAGAAGACATTGATGTGTGGCCTTGGAGTGCCTGTTGGCCGCAGGATGAAGCATGCCAAGGTTCCCTTGTGTTTAAGGCCTGGCAAACGGCAGGCTTGGACCCCCCATGACGGGCTGTAAGGGTTTTAAGGGTTTTAAGCGTTTGGAGGGTTTTTAAGCGTTTAAGGGCTGGCAAACGGCAGGCTTGGACGCCCATAAGAAGACATTGATGTGTGGCCTTGGAGTGCCTGTTGGCTGGACTGGCAAACGGCAGGCTTGGACCCCCCATGACGGGTTGTAAGGGTTTTTAAGGGTTTTAAGCGTTTGGAGGGTTTTTAAGCGTTTAAGGGCTGGCAAACGGCAGGCTTGGACGCCCATAAGAAGACGTTGATGTGTGGCCTTGGAGTGCCTGTTGGCTGCAGGATGAAGCATGCCAAGGTTCCCTTGTGTTTAAGGCCTGGCAAACGGCAGGCTTGGACCCCCCATGACGGGTTGTAAGGGTTTTAAGGGTTTTAAGCGTTTGGAGGGTTTTTAAGCGTTTAAGGGCTGGCAACCGGCAGGCTTGGACGCCCATAAGAAGACATTGATGTGTGGCCTTGGAGTGCCTGTTGGCTGCAGGATGAAGCATGCCAAGGTTCCCTTGTGTTTAAGGCCTGGCAAACGGCAGGCTTGGACCCCCCATGACAGGTTGCAAGGGTTTTAAGGGTTTTAAGCGTTTGGAGGGTTTTTAAGCGTTTAAAGGCTGGCAAACGGCAGGCTTGGACGCCCATAAGAAGACATTTGTGGTGGCCTTGGGGTGCCTGTTGGCTGCAGGATGAAGCATGCCAAGGGAATGTTTAAGCGATGGCTTTTAAGGGCTGGCAAGTGGCCTTGGAAAGCTAAGAAGGAGAAGTTCCACACCTGCGGTGGTCCCAGGCGCCGCCCCTGCCTTGGCCAAGGCCGGGGTCGGCGGATATTCATATACGGTTGCGAAAAGAGTCAAATTGTGCTCCCAAGCCCCTGAAGGATTAATCGCAATCACTTCGGTGCATAACCGTTCCAAACTAAATAGCTGGAAGCATTGCTTAGTATCCCGTTTCGAAAATCTTCCTTTGATTGTTTCTTGCTTCTTCGAGCACTGACCGCAACATATGAAAAACCCAAATGATGGGTCAACTGCTATATATATATATATTGTATTATACCACCTGAAAAATCACATGACATTGTGACTCATATAGTGATACTATATGAGATTTCTTGTCAATTAGTCAAGCAACCAGAGGAGCCGGCCAGAAGAACTTTGAACCCCACCTTTTTACACCGTTTGGTGCTTGGACCTCTGCTCCTCCCTGTCGACGAAGGTCAAGGTGCGGCCGCCTGGGACATTTTGGGTCGGCAGAAGGAGATGTGTGCAGCTTTTATGGCTTATATATATATACGTATGTATGTATGAAACATATTCAATATATATAACACATATATATATAACATATATATATATATCATATATATATAACATATATATATAACATATATATATAACATATTTAAATACCATATATATATATAACATATATAAATACCATATATATATAACATATATATATATATAACACACACACATATATATATATAACATATATAAATACCATATATATATAACACACACATATATATAACATATATATATAACATATATATATATTTATACGGCCAATGCCTGGGTTTTGCCCGGACCCGCAATGACGACGGGCGACGCATCATCATCATCATCATCATCATCACCATCAACATCATGTTCATCAACATAATCATCATCATCATCAACATCATCAAACCCTTATTGACGATCTTCAATGAATGTAGAAGTTTAACGGGGGTGGGAGAATTAAACCCTTATTGAAGATCTTCAATGAATGTAGAAGTTTAACGGGGGTGGGAGAATTAAACCCTTATTGAAGATCTTCAATGAATGTAGAAGTTTAACGGGGGTGGGAGAAATAAACCCTTATTGAAGATCTTCAATGAATGTAGAAGTTTAACGGGGGTGGGAGGATTAAACCCTTATTGATTCAATGAATGTAGAAGTTTAACGGGGGTGGGAGAATTAAACCCTTATTGAAGATCTTCAATGAATGTAGAAGTTTAACGGGGGTGGGAGAATTAAACCCTTATTGAAGATCTTCAATGAATGTAGAAGTTTAGCGGGGGTGGGAGAATTAAACCCTTATTGAAGATCTTCAATGAATGTAGAAGTTTAACGGGGGTGGGAGAATTAAACCCTTATTGAAGATCTTCAATGAATGTAGAAGTGTAACGGGGGTGGGAGAATTAAACCCTTATTGAAGATCTTCAATGAATGTAGAAGTTTAACGGGGGTGGGAGAATTAAACCCTTATTGAAGATCTTCAATGAATGTAGAAGTTTAACGGGGGTGGGAGAATTAAACCCTTATTGAAGATCTTCAATGAATGCAGAAGCTTAACGGGGGGTGGGAGAATTAAACCCTTATTGAAGATCTTCAATGAATGTAGAAGTTTAACGGGGGTGGGAGAATTAAACCCTTATTGAAGATCTTCAATGAATGTAGAAGTTTAACGGGGGTGGGAGAATTAAACCCTTATTGGAGATCTTCAATGAATGTAGAAGTTTAACGGGGGTGGGAGTTTAATATTCCCTAATATCTTTGTTGATCTTCCCAATTGAATGTAAAGTTTAACCGGGGTGGGAGTTTAATATTCCCCAATAACGTTTTTGTTTTTCCCATAGGAATTTCGGGTGCTTTGGCTTTTTTAATATAGTCCCTAGTACCTTTGTTGTTTTCCCCATAGGAATTTAAGGTTTAACGGGGGTGGGAGTTTAATATTCCCTAATATCTTTGTTGATCTTCCCAATTGTATGTAAAGTTTAACGGGGGTGTGAATTTAATATTCCCTAATACCGTTTTTGTTTTTCCCATAGGAATTTCGGGTGTTATGACATGTTTTTTATATAGTCCCTAGTACCTTTGTTGTTTTCCCCATAGGAATTTAAGGTTTAACGGTGGTGGGAGTTTAATATTCCCTAATATCTTTGGTGATCTTCCCAATTGAATGTTAAGTTTCACGATTTGAGAGTTTAAAATTTCCTAGAACCTTTGTTGTTTTTGCCATAGGAATTTCCAATGTTATGCCGTTTTTGTTTTTCCCATAGGAATTTAGGGTGTTTTGACCTTGTTTGTTTAATAGTCCCTAGTACCTTTGTTATTTTCCCAATAGGAATTACGGTAATTTGCAACATCCTTTGTTTGTGAATGGGACACCTCTACGCTGCAACGCCTGGGCAAAACCCAGGCGTTGCGCGTATATATATATATATAACATATATATATATAAATATATGTATATACCATATATATAACACACACATATATATATAACATATATATATAACATATACATATAACATATATATATATAACATATATATATATATAACATATACATATAACATATATATATATATATAACATATATATATAACATATACATATAACATATATATATATAACATATATACATATATATAACATATATATATATAACATATATGTATATATTTAACATATATTTAAATATATACATAATATATATATATATATATCAAATATGTATATATGATATATGCAGATGTATATATATATAGTTATGGTTTTGATAACTTTGATTTTTTAAAGATTGGAGAACATGGGTGACCAAAAGAAAATGCAAACTCTTATCACCTGAAGTTGTCTGACTTGTCTGTTTGAGTGGAAGAGTTTCCCATGTTGCCAGTATCAAGGTGAGGAATTCAATCGGCATTCCGGTGTCATCAAAGGTGGCTAGCTGGAAAATCCACCATTTACAGATGAATCTCTCATTCAGACCTCCATTCAGTTCGGGGATTTTCCAGCGGCCCGCCACGTTTGATGACACCGGGGCTTCTCAAATAGCCTTATCCAACATTGCGCAGTTGGAGTTTTCTCCCATCTTCTGAGGGTCTGACGAAGTGAAACCCGGCGGCAGTGGTTCAATCCATGTACCCCGTGTACTGGAAATGATAGAAATTCCAATAGAGATGATCCATTGAACTAGCAGATGTTCATATATATATATATGGTCACACGCGCTAGAATCATATCATATCATATCATAACATGACATAACAGTACATTACATTGCATTACATTACGTACATGACTATATTTCTACCATAGTCATATAGTATCCATTGAATTCGCAAAGATGAGCTGCCATATGTTCCTTGCAAAAAAGCTGGCCAGGACAGCTGATGTCCAAAGACACCGCGACGTTGCCACCCATGTTGATCAGCGTCAAGGACAAGGATGGCGTCAAGGACCAAACCTCCTTCACACTTCTAGGTCGGAGAGCTCCAGGGGTCTGGAAATGCTGGCTTTGGCTGGTGGATTTAAGATGATTTACCTCTGGTAATAGCTGACAGATGCTGACAGTTATCAAACTGGAAGCCATGGCCCTAATCGAAATAGTTGATTTACCGAACTTAAAGATGGTGATTTTCCAGTTCGCTATGTTAAATTACCAGATGGTAACTGAAAGAAAAACTCTGGGGGTATTCAAAAAACCCTTGTTGTCTGGGGATGTGGTGGGGTATGTTGGGAGATGCAACCAACGATATGAATGACTTTTTGTCTAAAGATAGGAAATTGATCCCCAATTGCAAAAATGACGGTACTGTAATCCGTTGGATTTTTGGATACCCTCGTCTCAGACTGTGTCAGTGAGGAATGATTCGGCGCTGAACTGAACCACCAATTTTTTTTCGCTGTTTGAAGCATGTCCTTTCTTGGTTTCTTCTTCCGTCCCCTCTTTGCGAAAAATCGAGGGATATTCGACAAAATTGGACCCATCTGTTTGGATAAAATCAAAGCGTTTCTTCCATGCAATGCATTGTGTGATGAAATGGGCATTTGGTTTGGAAGGAAAAAACCTGTCCGACCTGTCCATTTGAAGCGTCCTACCAAACTCAACCTGGGTGACACTCAGGGTCAATTTCAACAAAGCCAACTACAGAAATTGTTTCGACATTGGAATATTCCTGGATCTGACATTCCGCAAAAACAGCCGCCCAAAATGACGAACTTTTAAGGGCTGCCATGTTTCGAGCCGCTCGCAGCTCGTCCAGGCAAAGCAGCTCTGTGCAACTTGCCATCCTTGGATTACCACGATGAGCACTGCGAGGGTTTGGATGTGAATCGTTCCCATCAGGCCGTCTGGTATAGTCTGGATGCTCGGTAGCTCATGCAGTGATATTATATTTACAGTAGTATAGGGATATATAGGAATATATAGGGATATATGGGGATGTTTAGGGATATATAGGCATAGGGAATACCTTCAACTACTAGAGGGTCTAACATGGTCCACCTAGGGATCATTTTTTAAAAGGTCTGACATGCCTTGAATTCAGTTCAGACCCTATCCCGATACCATGTCAGACCCTTGGAAGCAGAGAAGGAAATTCAGTCTAGACCTTTTGGACTAAGTCATACAGAACTTCATGTTAGACCCTGTGAAGGGATGTAAAGGATGAAAAATCATTCAGAACATGTGGCCACCGAGAACTCAAACTGGTACCAACATGTCTCAACATGTCTCAACCACATGACTGCTGTCTTAAGAGAAAAGACATCGCTGGTGAAAATCGTTGCAACTTCCATTTTGCCACCTTGCCATCTGGGAGTTGGACTACTAGAATCTGAAGGCTTCCCATCACCTGAAGTTGGGGCGTGCATTACATGTGAGGGTCTGACATGGTGTTTCCTGAGCCATGAAGGTTGAAACCATGCCTGACATCTTGGGTAACACCATTTCAGACCCTTCAACTCCATGAAAAATCATTCAGAACACGTGGCCACCGAGAACTCAAACTGGTACCAACATGTCTCAACATGTCTCAACCACATGACTGCTGTCTTAAGAGAAAAGACATCGCTGGTGAAAATTGTTGCAACATTTTGCCATCTTGCCATCTGGGAGTTGGACCACTAGAATCTGAAGGCTTCCCATCACCCGAAGTTGGCGTGCATTACATGTGAGGGTCTGACATGGTGTTTCCTGAGCCATCAAGGTTGAAACCATGCCTGACATCTTGGGTAACACCATTTCAGACCCTTCAACTCCATGAAAAATCATTCAGAACATGTGGCCACCGAGAACTCAAACTGGTATCAACATGTCTCAACCACATGACTGCTGCCTTAAGAGAAAAGACATCACTGGTGAAAGTTGTGCCACCTTGCCATCTGGGAGTTGGACCACTAGAATCTGAAGGCTTCCCATCACCCGAAGTTGGGGCGTGCATTACATGTGAGGGTCTGACATGGTGTTTCCTGAGCCATCAAGGTTGAAACCATGCCTGACATCTTGGGCAACACCATTTCAGACCCTTCAACTCGATGAAAAATTATTCAGAACACGTGGCCACCGAGAACTCAAACTGGTATCAACATGTCTCAACATGTCTCAACCACATGACTGCTGTCTTAAGAGAAAAGACATCACTGGTGAAAATTGTGCCATCCTGCCATCTGAGAGTTGGACCACTAGAATCTGAAGGCTTCCCATCAACCCTGCTGGATTGCTAGGTTTCCAGGACGTATCAGGATGTCACACGGGGGAAGGGCCTACAATGAAGTTACCTTGTGCATGATGTTCTGTCATAGTAGTTGTTCCAGGTCATAGTGCAAGGGTCTGAGATGTTTGCACGCAACTTTTGTTAAAGCCTAGGGTTTTTCATTCCAGGCCCCATGTCAGACCCCAAAGGAAGGGTCTACAATGAAAATTCCTAGGGTCCCTAGCTAGTAGTTGCCAGGATCATAGGGATATATATGCTATGTACATATTATGGAGTTTTTTTTTCTTAAGAGGGTTCATACTCTCTACTATAATTCCAAAGTAGGTGGCCCGTTTTCTTGACATACATACATGCATGCATGCATGCATGCAGACATACAGACATCCAGACATCCAGACATCCAGACATCCAGACATCCAGACATCCAGACATCCAGACATCCAGACATACATACATACATACATACAGATAAACGGTACCCGGTATGTATATACATCTCTGGCAGCAAAATTTTGCAGTGGGCCCATCCCTTTGGGGGGCAGTTATTAAGGACGGCGATGCAGAAGTGAACTTCGAGCCACATCTGAATTCCTCCTGGGTCCTCCGGCCCCGAATGCTGATTGCTGCGGGCTACTCCACCTGCCCTGACGTGCCAAAGGCCCAGGCCGGCCCGGTTCTCTTGGAGGACCTGGAGGAGGGACAGATCAAACGCATTTCGCAGATTGGAACGGAGAAATGGATGAAGTATAACATCTCGGTGGATTCTTGGCGCGCTGAAAAACTCCTGTGACCTTCCGTTGGTTCCCAATAACCCAAGATCACCCAGGTCAACCATCATGCAGATGGGATTTCATGGGATTTTACTTACCGTTTGGTAACATGGCCATGGAAAATTCGCTAGTTCGATGATCCCGTTCAGATGCCCACCTGTAGTTTCACGTTGCAAACGTGGTTTCTCGAATCCAAAGTGGGATTGAGAGGGGTGAACCAACGACGACTCTGACTTCGCAAGCGTGGTGAACCAACACCGACATGGGAATTTACCGATCTACAACGAAAATGATCATTCAAATCAACGAAAAACAAACATAACCCATGGGATCCATGTATGCTATAGATGGTAACATGAATCCCATCAATATACCCCAAATGTTAGCATATATGACCCAGGACTCCCAAGCCCCCCCCCATGGTCACCACCCCCCCCCGCCCCTCTGGCCTGTGGTGGTGGTATGGTTCTTCTGGTCCCCCCCCCCTGTGGCCTGTGGTGGTGGTATGTTGGTATGTATGTAGGGATGGATGGATGGATGGATGGGGATGGAATGGATGTAATGTAATGTAATGTAATGTAATGTGTAAATGTAATGGTAATGTAATGTAATAAATGTAATGTATGTAATATGTATGTATGTATGTAATGTAATGTATGTATGTAATGTATGTATGTATGTATGTAATGTAATGTAATGTAATGTAATGTTAATGTAATGTAATGTAATGTATGTAATGTAATGTATGTGTAATGTAATGTAATGTAATGTAAATGTAATGTAATGTAATGTAATGTTAATGTAATGTAATGTAATGTATGTAATGTAATGTAATGTATGCAATGTAATGTAATGTAATGTAATGTAATGTAATGTAATGTAATGTAATGTAATGTAATGTAATGTAATGTAATGTAATGTAATGTAATGTGTAATGTAATGTAATGTAATGTAATGTAATGTAATGTAATGTAATGTAATGTAATGTAATGTAATGTAATGTAATGTAATGTAATGTAATGTATGTATGTAATGTAATGTAATGTAATGTAATGTAATGTAATGTAATGTAAGGTAATGTAATGTAATGTAATGTAATGTATGTATGTAATGTATGTATGTATGTAATGTAATGTAATGTAACGTAACGTAACGTAAAGTAATGTAATGTAATGTAATGTACTGTAATGTAATGTATGTATGTATGTATGTATGTAATTAGGTAGGTAGGTATGCATGCATGCATGCATGCATGTACGTGTGTACGTAGGTACGTAGGTACGTAGGTATGTAGGTATGTACGTGTGTACGTATGTACGTAGGTACGTGGGTATGTAGGTATGTAGGTATGTAGGTTAGGTAGGTAGATAGGTATGTATGTATGTATGGATGGATGGATGGATGCATGCATGCATGCAAGTATGTATGTATATATGTATGTATGTATGTATGTATGTAATGTAAGGTAATGTAATGTAATGTAATGTAATGTATGTATGTAATGTATGTATGTAATGTATGTATGTATGTATGTAATGTAATGTAATGTAATGTAATGTATGTATGTATGTATGTATGTATGTATGTAATGTATGTAATGTATGTAATGTATGTAATGTATGTATTGTATGTATGTATGTATGTATGTATGTATGTATGTATGTATGTATGTATGTATGTATGTATGTATGTATGTATGTATGTATGTATGTATGTATGTATGTCTGTACGTGTGTACGTGTGTACGTGTGTACGTAGGTACGTAGGTACGTAGGTATGTAGGTATGTAGGTATGTAGGTGTGTACGTAGGTACGTAGGTACGTAGGTACGTAGGTACGTAGGTATGTAGGTATGGAGGTATGTAGGTAGGTAGGTAGGTAGGTAGGTAGGTAGATTGGTAGGTATGTATATATGGTCCCGTGTCCCGTGTTCCCGCGAGCGTGAGCTTGGGGGACGATACCATGGGGGGGGGCCAGGGATCCGGGATCCGGACTCATATATACCAGCACCATGGATCCTATGGGTAATATGTTCTCCATCCGCAAATGCGATAAATCCTGAATTTCCCCTTAATATCCCTGAATTCCCATCAACTATGATTCGCGATGTCGCCAAGGACTTGTTAGGACTTCGTGAAGTGCAAGCCCCCGAAGACGTTTTCGACCAGTTCAACCACCTGCGGGACCGGCTCTTAGGTGACTTGACCACACCCTCCGACGCCTGGTCGAAAGTCCAACGGCTGGGATTCGGAGGCTTGGGAGGGTTGTGCCGTGCTCCAAACTGTTCACTTTTGGACACTTTTTTTCATTTTTCTTGAAAAAGGTAAATTTTAAAAATGGATAGTGATTTTGTTGTTTCCGGTCGATCTACTTTTCGATTTTCAGCAATCCATGGAGGTTTCCGAAGTCATGGGGTTACCTCCAAATCATCATCCAGTGGCCGCGGTGGCTGGAGGTTTAGTTCAGTGGGGATTTTCCAGCCAAAGTTTCTGATCCCTCTGGTTATTTAACATAGCCATGGTATAGATGGCCCATAGAAATAGATGGTTTACCTGGGTTTATCTATTAATAGCATGGTGATTTTCCATGGCGAACTGTTAGTCATAACCAGAGGGTAGGTATTTGCCATGGAGTTCCCAGTGGTTTTAGTTGTTTGCCAAAGCTATGATCTCCCAGGTCAGCGAAGCATTGCACTCTTCAGTGCTCGGTGAATGGAACAAAGAACATATCAAAAAAGTCATATGGCTGTGGGTCAGAGCGTAATATGCCAGACATAGGTTGGTGAACATCTGAATTTATCATCACATGTGTTCAACATCTATTCTGAGTACCAGCATATGACCCCCCTGCGTTCTGGATTTTCCCTGCGAAAAACTGTAGATTAGAGAATGAATGTCACAAGGGGCATGGCGATTCTTCATGATCGTGTTGTGGTGATGATACAGCCCGATTCCGATGCCAAGGAAAAACACCTGGAGATTTGCTTGACGCCGTTCTGGCAAGGAGCAGAACAGAGTTTCATTCCTGCCACTCTGGATTTAAACAAAACTTGTTCTTTTTGTCAACGCATTGTGGAAAATAGACAAAATCATTGCCGGCATCTCAGTCCTTGGTGGTCCAACAGATATGTCATTGCCAAGGTGCGGCTTGACGATGGCAAGAATTGCAAGGGCCAAAAAGACCCAACGCGATCCGAGGGCTTTTGGAGATCTCTCCATCCCGTTGTCAGCTGTGAGAAAACTGCACCCCAGATTCCAGGCCGGGGATGTCCATGATGTGGGCGGATTGGGATGAAATTCGTCAACTTCATACGGTGTATGTCTGCTGGGTGCCTGGGTATCGTGCGGACATGGGCAATGTTGCGATGGGGCGTTGGCTTGCAGCGTGATGTCCCGGGGACGTCTCTTCGTGGCCAGAGTTTGTCCACGTGAAAATCGAGTCTGCGGCCATGGTGTGTCAGGTCTCTGGGATTTTTGATGTGCGCCAGATGAAAAGTGCTTGCGTGGCGATGATCCTGCTGTCTACGAGGTAGATGATTGATGAGGTGGTAGGATCCTGCGACTTTTAATCGAAGTCCCTCGTAGCACCTCGTATACCCCTGTGAAACCTTTCCAAAAAAAGAAAGCCGTAAAGAGACCTTCAAAGAAACCCTACTGCTAGGATGAAAATACCCCAAAGAAACCCTCAAAAATCCGTGAAAAGCCCTATATAACAGAAACCCGAAAGGAACCCTAAAGAAGCTCTAAAAGAAACACTAAAAGAAACCCTAAAGGAAACCCAAAAGAAACTTTACAGAACCCCTAAAGAGACCCAAAAGAATCCCTAAAAGAACCCCCAAAGAAACCCAAAAAGAAACCCTAAATGAAACCCTAAAGAGACCCTAAAGAAACCCTAAAGATACCTAAAGAAACCTTACAGAAACCCTAAAGAGACCCTAACCAAAAACTCTTAACAATCCCTAAGAGACACCCTAAAGAGACCATAAGCCCAAAGAAACAACCCCTAAAATAACTCCCCAAGAAACCTTAAAAGAAACCCTGAAGAGACTCTAAAGAAACCCTAAAGATACCCCAAAGAAACCGCACAGAAACCCTAAAGAGACCCTAAAGACTCCGCAAAGAAACCCTAAAGAATACCGACCCTTCAGCACTGCACTGCAGACGCATGTCCACTTTACGTGCACAGTGATCGAATTTATGCCCAAAGTGAGCCGCTCGCCTTCCCAAAATAGGGCTACCCCAAACCGCAAAGCATTGCTTTTCCCATTGATTCCCATTGATACTGACAAATTTCGGATGATTTTGGGGTCGTTTTTTTTTTCCGAAAATCCCCATATAATATAGCCACGAAATATGAACCATCGATAGGTTCCGATCCCCAGCCCTGCTTGCCCCTTGCCGGAGGTGCTATCCCCAGGAAGCTCAGAATTCTTAGGGAGTCGACTTGGTTGAAAACGGTTTCCCTACCATAGGACCTATCACAATTCCCAATAAAAAAATGGCAGTATTTTGAGTCTCTATAGTAACCAACCAGGGAATTTTCAATGGCTCATATAATTTGCCCACAATACAAAATCTCCAAAAACGGGGCGCGTTTGTTTTTCATGAATAGATCCAATCCATTTCACCAGAAATGATGCGTTTTATCAATCGTTTTTTTTTGCATAGACGCATCGTTTTATCGTGTTTGGTTGTAATCACGGTGTATCATGTTTTAATATGTTTTAATCACATTTATATGCACATACATAAAACATCCGGTAATTATCCAGTACTAAGATTTGCATCATGGGATTGTAGGCTTTAATTCCTACTAAAAAAATATGAAGATTACCAAAATTACTCTTACTGCATCATTCATATATGTTTCCCATTCAAAAGGATCAATGGATGATAACGATATATATATATATATATATACATTATACATGTACACATATATATATATGCACATATCCAAGGCATTTTTTCTTTGCATAAATGGACAGTTGCATCCCAATTATTCCTGGATTCAGATGATCATGGGGATTCTCAGAATGGATTTTCTATGGAGGTCCATGACGACTGGATGAGAAGTGGGGTACCCGGGTACCCCCATGACTTAAGAAACCTCCTCCATTTTCAGGAGGGGTTTTCCATGGTTTTCCCCTAAATCACCGTTAAGTCACCATTAAATCACCAAATTGTAGGTCTACCCGCGTCGCCTTCGAAGAAGAGCACAGATTGGTGACCTGGGATAGGTGCTCGAGAGCTTAGTTGTCCAACTCCAACTTTGATGGTTGACACATGTTTTTCAAAGTTGACACAAGATCTCACACTTTCCCCATGGAATTTTGGTGCATCAGTAATATAGCTTTTGGTATCTCCCCCCTGGGAGATTGCGAACGCCACCATGGATGTTGATGCACCAAGTTTTTTTGGGGGACACCAATGCGTGGGACATCCCCACTGGGCATTGGTGATATTTTCTATCGGCGTTTCTATGGTTTTTCTTGTTGCATCCCAATGAAATCATTGCTACTGCCATTGATCCATTGATGTTTAGATCCCTTCTGTGCTAGCTGATTGTCTCGCAACGACAATGGGTTCTCTTCTCGTCATTCTAAAGATGCAATTTTGAAGATCCAAAAGACATGAGGCAAAGCCAGGTTCCAGGTTTTGAATGCTTGATTTCAGGTGTGAAATTTAAGGGGCATTCAAAAAACACCTTTCTATGGGTGAATGATGCAGAGCTCCATTTGCCGTACATGGGGTTGCGATTGGGGTGATTTTTGAAAGGTGATTTTACACCCTCAACATGAGATACAACACCAATGATGTATGGATATTTATGGCATTAAATACCCATGCCAATTCAGTGGACCTGCACAGCAAGTAGTAAATCTGATAATCTGAGTCTGACTACCAGATCTTGTCATTCACTTCTGGATTTTCTTGGCTTTTCAGGGGGGTTGCTTGGGGAGTATATCTCTTCGACGTTGAGTACACGCGCCTTGGGAGGCCTTGGGTGGCCCGGTGCATTTCAGGTACAACTTGGTGGTCTTGAAGAATCCGGACGATCGAAGTTGTGGCTGGCGCCTGTCCATTTCGAACTATGTGGCACCCATCGTCCCATACCTCCAGAGACCTTTTCACAAGGTTCCGGTGAAAACTTTAGAGATGCTCCAGCTGGATCGATCTGAATCAGGGGGTTTTTCATTGGAAAAAACCCCATGACGAGTTTCAAGAATCCACCCCAACAAATGGATGAGAACTGGGGGTAGCCTCATTTCAGGAAACCTCCATCTGCTGATAAAAAATTGTTCCTTTTTCTTTCAGGATAGCTGACACTGAGGTTTCAACTGATTCCAAGATGTTCCAAGCCAATAGACTGGTTGGTAAAAAATCCAGTTTTTGTTGGTCAATTTTTTTTCGGTGAGTTTCTAACAGAAACTGTTTCAGCGCGCAACATTGTTGGTTGAAGTCATTCCCATTGGCAATGCCCACTACTTTGTCAATTTGTCAATTGGTTGAAGTCAGGTGATGGTGGGTCACCTTGAGATACCTTGAGAGTGGAATGGCCATGAGCAGTTTTTCTTGGACCTCTTAGATCAACAGGGCAGCTTAACTGACCCATCGACAGTGAAAACCCGGACCCGATGGGTTGCAAAATGGGACTCCTGGAGTGTTTGAAAACCGAATAAAAAGTTCCCAGTCAGTAGGTTCACCTCTTAAGTAGTTTGCTCCAGAAAAAGCCACCAAAACTGAGGATGCCTGCGAACTTCAAGCCTTCCAAGTTGAGCAGCTGGGTCCTTCTGCCAGACTTGGTCTTTGGTCTTCGTTCCCGCAACACGGACCTGGGCAGCGTGTGCGTGACGCTTCCCATGAGCTCGCATCACCTGCCACGTGATCTTAGCCAGCAAGTGTCGAAGGCCTTGAGAACGGTGAGGGTCTTGGAATCTGAAAGGCATGAGAGCCATGTGAAACACAAGAGTTGCTGGCCAGAGATTTGGTGTTTTTTTGTGGAATAAAACATCTTTATATTTAGAGAAGATGTTTTTTGGGATGTGTCTGGGGTAAGACATCACTTAGCCAGCTGGCTCTCTTTGTATTTTTAGATTCTCATCCACCAAAAACATCTAATGTGGTTAAAACAAGAGTAAACCGCCCCCCAAATCACCATAAATAGGTGGTATAAACCATTCCCAAATGGGTGGTTTATGATTGTTTTACCATGTTTTACCCACATCTAAAGTCTAAAGCGTTGGGATGATTTGCAGTTGTGTTTTTCCACTAGGTTGGGCTTCAAACATCGTCTCCATCGCTTCCGGCAAGCACTCGGAGTCCTCCAGCCACTCAAGACAGAAAGGCCCCATTTGGGCCGGCGGGGATTTGCCATTTGGGGATGGGTCAAAACCCTGGTACCGTGCCGTGAACCCCAACATAGCTGGGATTTATGGATGTGAATAACCCACTCAAAATCTATCTATAGGTATTGACCCATACCCATTTCTCAGATGGTTTTACCCGCTGAATCCTCGACATGTTGAATCCTCATTTCAAGCCTATTCAGTGATCAAACATGGCGGGCAAGCCAGCAATACTTCGATGATCCTCCCAGCAAGGTCACGTATCCGATTTAGAGGCTATTTTTCCAGCATTTTTCCAGCCAACCAATATCAAGGGAATATCTGAAATCCATTGAAATCCTGACCATGGTTGAGTTGTAAATTCATGGGGAATCCAAACATCACCATGGGATTTGCAACCCATCAGAGATGGAGATATGATCCGGAAACTATGGTTGCTATTGGTTGGTTGATTTCAGGGGGGTTATATGGGGGTTATTAAAAACGGCTTTACAGACCGAAGATGGTCACAATTTTATCGGAATGCCCATGAAATTCAGGGAAATTCGAAGATATTTTATGTCATTGAGAGGATTTGACCACACAATCCACATGGCTTATCATCATTTCATCTAATCTAGTCTTTGATGGCCATGATTCGGGTACGCATACCAAATTCTAGAAATGGGTTGGCCCAAATCAAAGTTTTCCGGAGGTTTTTTGAAGCAAACTTTTCAGCCGAAGTGGTACTTTTTTGCCATGGCTTTCAGCGATGCCTCAGAATATCAGGGATCTGCCCCGGCAGATCCCATCACAGGCAGAGATCATCGTATTCATGGGATTTCATGGGTCCCTACCACTTCCACTTTCCAAATCGCCCTGATTCAGTGAAATTCACTAGCCACCAGTGGCCATCAGTTCAATTCTCCACCAATTCTACTGGCTCGCTATGGGGCCACGGGGCCATGGATTCCAGGCAAGTTCCTGCCCCGCGAGAACGAGATGGTCGAGGTCTTGAAGCGCGACGCCACGGGTTGGACCTACGGGCGCTTGGTGGAGCCCGAGCCGCCGAGTGCGACGAGTACGACGAGTGCGACGCCCATCGAGGGATGGTTCCCGGACTGGTGGCTTCCACCGGAAGATGCCGATTGGATGCAGGACAGAGATGGGAAATGATGGGATGGGGATCTTTGATGATGGGATGTTTGATGATGGGAATGGATGTTAAAAGGCTTGATTTGTTGATATGAAAAGATGCAGAAGTCATCAGAAGTCCTGCCTTTTCGATGGTTTCGGTGCTCCCATGGAAAGATCATTTTCATTCCATGTTATCATTTGTCATTGCTCCCTTTAAATGTTTCTGTTTGATGGTTTCTGTTCAACATAACAAGTACAGGTACCCACTGTCCGTGTCTTCCGTTGGAACCTTCCCCCGAAGGGGGCGCTTCGGCAGAGGAGTGCCTCGACGAGTTTCAGGAGATGGACCCTGCGCTTCAGCACCTTGGTTGAGACTACAAAAAGGGACTACAAAAAGGGTAGAGCCCGGCAAGTCGGGTGACGGAAGTTTTGAGAGGGAAGAACCTATAATAAAGACAAGGGAGAGCCTATATATAGGAAGACCGCCCTGACCGCCTGGCTGGCACGGCCGTCGACTGCGTGATCTCTTGGGAGTCTTTGTCCTTGACATTTCTGAATTCTCGACATCTTTGTCTGATGATGCCACTGTCTCTTGAAATGGCTTGCTCCTGACATTTCTGAATCTTGACAGCCCTTCTTTTCGACAGCTCTGGAGCCAGAGACTTGACACACTCTTCTCTCCTGACGACAACAGTGCTAGTGCTAGTAGTAGTAGTAGTAATAATAGTAGTAGTAGGAGGAGTAGTAGTAGTAGTAGCAGTAGTAGTAGTAGTAATAGTAATAGTAGTACTACTACTACTTCTACTTCTACTTCTACTTCTACCTACTACTACTACTCCTACTACTCCTGCTACTACTACTACTACTATTACTACTACTACTACTACTACTACTACTAGAAAATCTCTCCACATTTTCACTGTCCGTATCACGGAGTTTAGACTGCTAAACTTCCTTTGATACATAGCACTTACCCCATGAAATCCTTGATGTAGCAATTTAATCCAATTTACATCAATTTACCATGTGACTCCGGGAAGATGATTTATCTGATGACTTACCATGACTAGAAGATTTCCTGTTGATTTGACCAAATCTTACCCATGTGGCTATGGATCAAAAACGTTAGCCCTCTAACTGCTTGTTCTGGGGATGAAGATCCATAAATCCCAGTCAGTTTCGTCTAAGATCAGCCATGGATAGGCCACTACGGAGCCTTTCATCATTCAGTTTGAAGAAATAGTTTCTATGTGCGGCAACCAAATCCTATATATGTTCGAACCAATTTTAACGGTTTTTGGGTGTACCCACCTTCATTTTTCACTCCTTTTTCATGCTCATTGCTTTTCACTAATGTTTAGTTTTTTTTTACCAATTTTTCACTCTTTCACCCATGAAAAAGGTTTTTTTTCTTGTGCAACAAACTCCAAAAACCCCAGGGGTCTGCCTCAGCTTCCTTTGAGTGAACAGAAAGAAGACCCCTACGACATCTATGTGGACGTCTTCGCTGAGATTTCAGGGAAACTGAAGTGGAACGACAACTTTCATGTGCCCTGGATTCAGACCCTGCTGGTTTTTATTTTTTGTATTTTGTAATTGCACAATAATTTTGAAATTTAGACATATCGGAGAGGTGGAAGATGATGGAAATATATTACCCATTTGAAGGGGGAATAGACAGTTTATCTTCGGGGGGGCATCATTTCTTGTTTCTCCTAACTGGTCAGACAAGAATGTCCATTTTATCACCAGTTCATCACCATGATCGGGATTTTTGTTGATCTTTTGAGCACAAAACCAACAAGTCCAAGGTGGACAAACAACTGTTGACGCCTCATCTCTTCACCATTGAACATGAAGACAAGCAGGTCCTGCACTTTTTCAATCCCTCGGATATTTGGCCTTTGAAGTTGGGGGCTGTGGGGCCCAACTTCCCAACTTCCCTTGGGTGTTTCTACAGCTATGGTGGATTCACGAACAAAAATGGGAGTCTAACCACTAAACTTGGGATTTAAGGGTATATGTAACCATCACACATTGGGAATGAATATATATATATATATATTATAGTTTAACTTGACCTCCCGAGTCATAGTACGTTGCTTCGTTTTTCACAGTTCACAGGGCCCGTTGAAACAATTTTCCCAGAAATGTTGCGCGTCACCAGGATACTGTATCTATTGGCTGCTCGTTTGTTTTGCAGCCATCGGGAATCCGGATTGAGATGTTCATTCGGCATCGATGGATAGCTTTAAGGGAACATCTTAGCCGGAACATGCCGGAACCATGTTGTTTTTCCGACATGAAATTGATTGGGGTTTCTATGGGTTTCCTGTAGATTTTCACTTCAACCAATGAATCATAGTTCATATGGTGTGAGGGGTTCAATTTCGCAATCGTTGCTGGTCCCATCAGCTCCCCACAGATTTTTCGACCAATCTCCGAACATCGGTGAGGGGCTGTTTGGATTGATTGGTTATAAGATGTTATAAGATGTAATAAGTTACCCGGTTACCCTCAAACTAACATAACTATGGAAAACCACCCATTCATGGCTAAATCCTGCTAATCAACTATTTCTATGGACCATTTTGGCAAACTCTATGGTTTCGGCTACCTGGGCTACCAGCTTTCAGGATTGGATGGCGGGCCACCTGCACCATGCCGAAGAAGCCTTTGACCACCGCACCGTGCCGCAATTTTTCGCGGAGCCCGCGAGCACCACCTCAGGACGCCACGAAGTGCCCTATGGCCCGGCCCACCTCTGGCGTCGCGTGCTGTGGGGCCGCGCCGGGCCGTTGCGGCATCAACGGACGGCGGAGTTGAAGGTGACGACTTGGAGAGCTGGGGAGATCAGAGGTATATCATTATATGGTAGATAGATAGATAGATAGATAGATAGATAGATAGATAGATAGATCGATAGATAGATAGATAGACAGACAGATAGATAGATAGATAGATCGATAGATAGATCGATAGATAGATCGGTAGATAGATCGGTAGATAGATAGATAGATAGATCGATCGATAGATTAGATTAGATTAGATTGGATTAGATTAGATTAGAAAGAAAGAAAGATAGATAGATAGATGGATAGATGGATAGATTAGATATATGGATAGATGGATAGATGGATAGATGAATAGATTAGATAGATAGATAGATAGATAGATAGGTAGATAGATAGATAGATAGATAGACAGATAGATAGATAGGTAGATAGGTAGATGGGTAGGTAGGTAGGTAGATAGGTAGATAGGTAGATAGGCAGATAGGTAGATTATTTGTATATAAGAATTATAGACATATATAGAATCTATGGATATGTCAGGCAGTTTAGTAAATGCCAGCCCAAAATTTGAGAAATGGAACTCCCAAAGTTGCCTTATAAATGTTGGAAGCACATTTATGACGACCATAAATGATGGGTAGCAGGGGGAACCGCCCAACACAAAGTGTGTTCATCAGGTTTTTTCCCAGGTGAACATGGCTATAGCTATGGGCCAAACCTAAACACCCCATTTGAGTAACTGGCCATGGCAAAAAGGGCTTTCGGTGCCTGGCTGCGATCAAAGATCAGACGGCGTAAAGATTGCTGAAGGATGCTAACAGTGTGGAAGCCAAACGGGAAATCTGCTATCAACATATACCAGAACTACTGTTGAAGGGGTCATTTGCAGATTTTTCTGAAAGAGACCTCCAATGAATATTCAGAGAGATCATAGTGCTAAGAATGGCTGAACGATCCTAGAATGACATTTTTTGGTCTTAACAACCCACATGGCTTTGTGCGAACATGAGACCCCGAAGTTTGATTCCCCCAGACAAGCACTTGGGGAGTATACCTCAATTTCAGACACACCCAAATATCATCATATTAAGTTGGGTATTTATATGTCGTCCCAGCATAATCCCATTATAATCCCAGTATAAACCCATTACCCGTTATTCACCCATCAGACACCCGTTATAAACACCATCTAACAACATCCTGATAAACACCATCAACAACGCCATCATAACACCATCAAACACTCATTATAAACATCAACAACATCATTGTTAACACCAGCAACAACACCATAAATCCGCCCGCACCGAAGGTGCCGAGGCGTTTTTTCTAAGCACGCCTGATCCGTAAGCAATTGCAATAGCTATTAAGCTTTAACACGCGCCCAACATGGGCCCAAAATCGCCCAACATGCCTCCACATAGGCCCAACATCGGCCCATCATGGCTGAACATGTGCCCAACGCGGCCCAACACAGAGCCAACATGGGCCCAACATACTCCCAACATGCGCCCTACAAAGGCCCAACATGGTTTTATTGGAGCTAATACTGCGGTGCGGGCGGTTGTCTTCGTGAAGCGACCAGAATATAACCACCATCATACTGCAGTAATCCCAGTATAAGCACCATCAGACACTCATTGTAAAACACCATCAACAACAGCATTGTAAATAGCCATAAATCTATATAAATCTCAACACCATCATAAACCCATTGTAATCTCAACACCATCATAAACCCATGGTAAAGCCACTACTTACGCCACCAGCACTTCGTCGACCACCGCTCTCCTTAACAACGGGACCGTTGAACGGGACCGTTGAACGGTGCTTCAACGAGGCCCTGGCGAAGAAGAAGGGCTATCGCTTGGTGTCGCATCAACATCGCCCAGAAGCTCCAGGATGGGATCCCAAATCCTGAAAAAAATCGGGCTATCCATGGCTATTTTCAATGGGGAAATCACAATTTTTAATGGGAAAATCCAATCTAAGATCATCTAAAATCTATAAATGGCAATTTTCAATAGCGAACTGTTAGTTTACCAGAGGCTATCCATGGATTATCCCATGGGTGGGTGAAGTAAGCCTATTCTTAGCTAAATGATATGAAAAAAAGGGTGAACATGGTCATTTTAAGCCTCTTTATCCCAATTTAAATTCCTTGTATGTGGTGTTGGGAGCACCCCTGTTCTTGGGAGGAGGGGAAGTTTACCATTTTGCCGGTGAACTAACAGTTCGACCCTGAGAAATTACGACTTTTTATTGGAGGAAGGTAGTCTTCCCAGCCCGATATTTGGCAGGGTTACGTAATTTGGAGGTAGGAATTGGCTGGTTGATGTTTTTTCTTCTAGCACCATGTTCAGTAACTTTATCTATGTGAAACAGTTGACACGAGCTGTATGATTTTGTGCTGACCCGTGCAACTAGCGGGTTGCTGCTCGAGGTTTCAACGTATCATGTTGGACTAACGGTTTCACTTTTTGATTCACTGCGCCAACATATTCCCGGTGGTAAAAACAACAAAAACTACGGTAGGTATTGGAGGTGGGATGGAATTTTCAAGATCGAGGGTTTTTCGCCGAAAGCCATCCCATCGTTGGGCAGTAAACCCTTTTTTTACACTTGGTGCAGTGCTCAAAAAACCACCGGCCAAGGTGCATAAAGATCACAGAAAAATGTTGGGCTGAATTCGGAGCGACCTAATCACAGTTTTTCACAGGTATATCATACGGTTTTCTGTTCAGCATCATGGGGAACTCAGAGGGATTCTCGTGGGACACTTCCAGCGTCAGCTGGGATGGATCTTTCTAAACATCACCAGCCCAATAGATCCATTGGCCACGCCTTGACGGCTTGACGGCTTGACCAATTGTGGCCCAGATTCTCATGAAATTTCACCGGTGCCGAATACCTCATCCCTTAAAACAAGCCCTTCCTAGACCCATGATTGATATGATTGGAAATGAATTCGGAATCCCCATCTATAAATTGAAATAACTGGGACCCCCATTCCGATGATTTTCCCTGGCTTTCGAACATGGAATTCCCAACGTGAATGGAACCATAGGTGGCGGTCATCTATCTGAGAACCTGCACACCTTCGTTCGTGCCTTGGGGCATAAGATCCAACCGGAACAGGATCGCGACAGTAAACTTCTGGCGCGCTTGTGGGTGTGCCCAGGAACCATGAGCTACAAGAGGACCGAAGTCGGCGGATCCGCTTGCGGAGTCGGATCATGATGATTTGTTTGAAGACCCTTGTAATGTGATAAACCGAAAAAAAGTAAACCATCCTTAGATGTTGGTTCATTAGACCAATATTCTTTGGATCCACCAATTTTTCGCCAGCTTTTGAATTCTTTGGTCTTGTTGTTACTTCCATGCTGGAAAATTCCGCAGCCATACTTCGATGCTTTTTGCAGCGAACTAAACCTCCATTTATAGGGTAGTATTTCCAATGATTTTCCCAGCGAGCTAAACCCCCATTTCGTTCGAACATTTTCCAGAAATCGCGAGATTTGATGACACAGTTGCGGGTTTGCTGAAAATTTGGAGCACCACTGGGGGAGAATCTTAATTTGATGACATCCCACGGTATATTGCGCTGAATTCCATTCATTCTTATAATGGTTAAATGATATTAAATGTTAATGTGGGTGACTTATTCATGTTTCCTCTTTGCTAAAAAATCTTCTTTGCTTCGGCCCAGAAATCCGTGTCGCTTTCGTGGAAAGAATTCGTAGGAAAGGCCCCATCCACCTGTACGACAAATCGCGAGCGCGTTGGACCTTCATCATGGAACCCACGAATTTGTTGAGCGCTTTGCAGAATGGGAAGTTCGTGCTAATGGTCCGTCCCGGAACTGTGGAAGTGCACCCTTTGCCGGATCAGGTGCGCGAGACAAAGATGCGGTAAACAAAGAATGGGGCGTATGAAACCAACCATTTAATGTGGGAATATAATTATATATATATAATATTATATAATATATAATATAATAAGATAACATGAATGCATCATGTTGGCATAGGATGCCTTGTAGCCAACAGAGTTTAAAATGGATTGGTTCAAACTGGAACCCCCCGGAACCTGTCGGACTCAGATAGTGAAGCCGGGAAGTTGATCAACAATATACCATCCCATCACAGTTAGTACCCTCTGGTAAACTAACATAACTATGGAAAATCACCGTTTTCAATGGGAAAATCCACTATAAATGGTCATTTTCAATAGCTATGTTAAATTACCAGAGGGTACATATTATAGTACCCTCTGGTTATGACTAACATATGGAAAATCATGATTCTTCATAGGAACATATAGGTCCTATAGGTGAATCATCCTACCTCATCGATGGGTGGCATTTTCAACCATCCCCAAAAGGGAATCGTCCTATCCATGGATTGATGGTGGATTTTCTGATGGTTTTCATTCATGATTTAAAGCTATCAAAGGAGCATAAAAAACATAAAAGAAACCATGATCTTAATGAAACATTCCTTGCATGGTATCACCCCGATTTTTAACAGGTATAACCAAAGTAGAAAAGACACCACGGGGTTCTGCATGAAGAATGGTTCTAGAACAGAAAGGCCAATCATAGCGTGCCCAGTAGGATTTGGAAACAGAAACATAAAACATATAGTTTCAGTCCCGGATCCAAATCATATACATATATATATATATAGATATTAATCATCGTGAATTGGAATATATAACCATAAATTGGAATGTATAACTTCTCCAAGCCCTTACCATTAATTGGAATATAGAACCCCTATCATTCCTATCGTGTTTTTTTCAAAAAATGCGGCCTGGCCTTAAGGCGATCCGCATCCACGTAGGGCCCGACATCACGGTGGAGGTCCCAAGCGAAGAGCTGGTGGAGCAGCTCATAGAGATTCTGAAGCAGGGCGAAGCACAGGAACATCAGGTGGGGGACCCCCAAGGGCGGGAACGGGGGACCCCCAAGGGGCCAAGGGGATGGGAGATTTTTGGTGGAAAAATGTAATGCGACATTTTTGCCGGACTGTGACTGAAGATGTGTGGTTTAGATTGTGACTGAAAATCAACATCGGTTATTCGAGAATGCAAGTTTGGATTGAACAAAGCCTCATTGG